AAACTCATAATGTGATGATATATTCGTAGCACAGACAAAATGACATGGTCAAAATAGCAAGATCTCACGCGCATGCACGTGCGCTTCGCTCTGATTGGCTGAAACTAAAGTCTCAATATCTTTCTTGTTTTTTGATGAAATTCTTTGAAATTTTGAACATAGCCATGCATTTGGATATCCTACAAAATGATATATAGCAATTATCATGAAAACACGTGCATGCACGTGCGCTGCAATCTGATTGGCTTAAACTTTAAATAGCTATAACACCCTTGTTTTTCAACCAAACAGGATGGGATTTGGAACATAGATAGATATAATGGACTTTTACAAGAAGCTATGGTCACCATGCGAATGCATACACGTTCGTGTACGTGCGCTGCAATCTGATTGGTTAAAACTTTAAACAGCTATAACTCCCTTGGTTTTCAACCAAACGGGGTGGAATTTAGAACATAGATAGATGTAATGGACTTCTACAAGAAGTTATGGTCACCATGCTCATGTATGCACGTGCGTGCACGTGAAATGAGTAAAATCAAAAATACACTTGAATAAGCGTATTTTTTAATACTTTTGGATTGAATACTTTCATATTTAGTGTATTAAAATAAATAGATTGTGTACACAAGATGATATGGTCATTACACACATGGAGTCACATGCGCACGCATGCAATGCTAAAATCTGAATGAACTTGGTACACTTCTGGGTAAACGTTGTTAAAATCTCAAATGCATAGCGTTTGTCTTATTTAATGAAGCTTACAGGTAATATGGCACCAAAAGGGAGATGGGGAGCGTTTGGGGAACATCTGTAACGGTCCCCGTTACAATTAGCACTAGTTTAAAATGTCTTTGAAGATTTTGAGCCAGTAATAATCTTTATTTTATTTTTTTGTGCTGGTGATTGATCTGTCAGTAAAACCGAGAGAATTTTTGACAGTTTCTCGCTTGTTTGAATTGGTAATTAAAGGTTTTGATGTCGTACTGAGATGTGTACATTTCGTTAGTTTATGGTGCAGTAGAACATTCTTACTTAATTCGATACCGTAAATTACCCGATACAATGTAAGCTAATCGTACTTGTAAGTATAACTCTATCGGGGACCTACATTTACATATTTATATATACTAACGTTCGTATATGTAGATTCCTGAGTACGCATCAAAAACCATTTCTTTTGTATTTAACTTTGATTTATTTTAAGAATCACTATCAATGGGTTTTATAAATCTTAACGCCATTTACATAAAAAAAAAATAATCGACCATTCATTGTGTTCTTGACAACCCTTGTTCAGTATTTATGAACCAATTCATTTAGGAATTACTGTTTTTTTTTTATGTGCTAATTTTATTCGTCCAAAATGATTTAAATTTGTCAGTTGATAATCAGCAGAATTATTAAACACACAATCGGAAACTCTGTAAAACACCTGTGTGTAGATGAAGTCGCCTGAGGTGATCCGAGTGTGTACGGTAGCGGGAGAATGAGACAACAGGTGTCACTGCCGCATTAAACAGAAGACCACTCGTCGGATTTCACAGGAAGTTAGTTACGCAACATTACGGCGACGGGTATACCTATCTGTTTTCAACACATTGCGCAACTCAACACAGCCATACATGCTTGAAATATGTAATCTTCAATCTTTTTTTCAGAATAAATTATTTTTAAAAAATTATACTTTATTAAGTTTCAAACATTAAATGTATGATTTAATACCCACAATAAAATGTGAAAATCTGATTCGGGAAAGACACAAACTTTTCAGATTTAGTAGCATTAAAAAAAAAATAAAATAAAATAAAATGAAGAAATCAATACTTATTATGTTTTTGGGGGAGAAGGGGGTCTTCCAAAACATTTCAGTTAACATGATTAAGTTGGGTTAGTGTGCGATGATGTAAAATTTAAGGGATAATCAAGTAGAAAAACAATAATTAATGTGTTGTCACTTTCATGTTTGTAAAGTTTTGCTGATCAAATTAAAAAAAAAAGAATTGGGGAAATAATTCCATGACTGTATATTAATTATTTAATTAACTTCTCTGAGATAGAGAGAGTAAAAGAGAGAGAGAAAAAAAAACGAACGGCAACTCGGCACGGGATACGGTGGAGACTTTCAGTGAATATTAAATGTTCATCATATTAAAAAGAAAGTAATAAAGCATTAATCAAACCTAAAATATAATAATTACAATTGTAGATTGTACCAAGTGGTCAGAGGAATCTGTGCCATGCAAAATAGCGATAAATATTCTTCATGTGTATTAAATATTGCGTTTTTCATGTATCCTAGTAAACGCTGATATTGTAAGAAATATACCTTTTATTATAATATAATGCATTTATGACCAAAATTGCCGGGCGCAGTTCATTTTGAAGCGCAAGAATTTACCATGTTTCTCGCGTTCAGTAGAAAACTCATGATCGATTCAAACCGGAAACCCCAAACAGCGGTATAAGCACATGTAACGTGCATGGCTTGAAGAGATGTCGAAGACCATTTAGAAATGAAATTACCGATACGTTTTAATTCAATTTTGATTAGAATTTATTTAAATTTTTAAAAAAACTAAAGATGTCTGTTTTGTTATACATGTGCTTGTAAAAATAATATAATTGATGAAGACAGGAACTATAATTTAAATACGTGTATATTTAGCATCCGTCTTCATAAGAATTATTTAAGATATGATGAAAACTACACTGTAACTTGTTGCCGGTAATTAATATAAATTGATTGATCAGGGATATGGTTGAAGTGAAATTATTCCACATACACTGTAATTAATTAATTGCGCATCGTTTTGTCATTAATTATTTTACAGATATGATTTCAATAGTAAATATATATACTTTCCGAGAACTGAAACTTTGTTTCAAATAAATTAAATTCAGACCGTTTCTGAATTAAAATAGAATAACACACACATTTTCATATAAGTGCTGCTACCCCCAGCCTGAGAATAATAATAATTTTTCTATATAAATTGATATTTAGAGCTTTTCAACATTGTCATTTGAGCATTTTAATATGAAATCATTTATTAAAAATAATACATGAAAATATAAACATAAAAAAATCAATTTCACACCTCTGCAGCCTCCCCGAGAGCGAGAACAATAGGGACAGTAATTATCAGTAAATGTCAGCACTTGTCTAAGTTTTTCAGCAGGGACAGTAAACGGGTCAGTAATTGTCTAAGTTTATCAGCACCGACTAAGATTATCAGCACTTTTCTAAGTTTTTCAGCACCGGCAGTAAAAAGGTCAGTAATTGTCTAAGTTTTTCAGTAAAGACAGCACATTGTCAGTTATTTTCTAAGTTTGTCAGTAAAAAATGGGAATGTCAGTACATTTTGGACTTAGTAGTGATAATAAGTAACACATTCATTTTACATAACTGTACTGAAAATTACACATCCAGTTTAAATTACTGTACTGAAAATTAAATTTGTGCAAAAACTCTCTGGCTGAATAACATTCAAAATCATGAATGCTTGCATGTTCATCTATAAATCTCCAAGATATTTCCTAGTTAGTTTGTAGCGCCGCACCGAGCGGTCTTACAACACATTTCATAATGTCAGTTTGCATGAATAAATTAATTTATCCATGTTCCTCATATCCTGAAAATAGATGCCGAAATTCTAGTCTACACTTTACTTACACAGCACATCATCAATAGAAACATTCAGGAAAAATAATTCACAAAAAATAAATTCAAGTAAAACAATCACATGTACATATAAATCCAAGAAATATTATGTAATAGTCCAAGTAAGTGAGTAACTTTATCTATCTCTAACAGTTCTATCTACTAAGTCTTCTGTATTTCCATCTTCCTATCTAAAATTCTGTCGCACTATATATATATATACTCGAGATCCGTTCCTGTCGATCAGGAGCACATTACAAGATCCTTAAGATCAGGAGTCAATACACAGGTCATTACAATCAGCAGGGGGGTTAGATAAGAGGGGGCGATTAATATACAGATAAGATTTTTAGCATAAGTGTAGATGATAATGTGTGAACAATTAACAATTAAGTAATGAAGAGTGATTTACAGATAATATATTTTAAATCGTTACAAGTTTACATATTCTTGATCATATCATAGTTAAGAGAATATATTCTTGATCATGACATCTGTATTGGATTCCCCTCTCTGACATCTTTTCTTGTTCACCAATTAGTTCAACAGTCATCTAGGTACTCAGGTGTTGTACAAGTCCTAATAATAACTCAAAATTTAAAAAAAAAACAATACAATTTTTAAAGAGCTTTTCATTACTTCTATTGAAATTAAAGCACAAGCTTTTGAAGACATACTTAAGTAACTTAAAACATGTATAACTAAACATAATGGAAATTTAGACATTGCGACTCAATGTCAAACATATGATAGTGATACATCTGTAATATCCATGAAACTTACTGAGATACTTAAAATGTTTGTGGCGTGCTTTCACTAAGCTATGCAATATATAAACATTTCTTGATTACATGTTGAAGTCCAAGGCTTAAAAAAAAAGTTTGTTTCCTGTAACATTCCCAAAACATCAAGGGTCGGCAGGTCGGATTTTTTTTTTTTTTGCTTATGAATGGTGAAACATCCCCAGACTGAAAATACCAGGTGTTATATTTACAGTGGACACCCAACATGGCATCCAAAATGGCTGCCTAGCGGCAGAAAACAAACTTCAGAAAGTTGTTGGGGGAAACTGTTGTTACAATAATGATTACTCTTTATATTTAAGGTAAATGTAAACTAGGTTGACATATTTTAAGTCTCAAATTAAACTACAAGCTATTGTTTTAATTTTAATAAATGGAATCAGCTGATTGATCAAACAAAGTTTTGCCATTTGTCATCGGAAAAAAATCCACCCAAGGATAATTTGAATGGGTCGGTCGGGTTACAGGAAACAAACATAATTTTTTTTAGGCCCAATCCTAACCTGACTTGCACCTTCATATGAATTGGTTCTATGCTGATAATCCCTTTCAACAATCTTCATCACAACATCTGAAAGTCACCCTTCTTCAAAATTAAATCTGCCGCTCACCTCAAATGTATATATACCCCCTGTACAAGTGCATGGAAAATAAAATTTTGAATAAAAAATGAATTATCTCTTCACCATACCCGGCCTCTTTAAAAAATGTGAGAAAATAATTTAAATACTTTTCTTTAGATAAAATCATGTAGTGAGTATCCAGCAATGGTGAAAAAGTTATCTCTAGAATTTTACATTTATATTGAATGAAAAATGCATTGTTCCCTCTACTTAAAAATCTCAAAAGACATTACCTAAAATGGAAATAAGGTACAACTGTGACTGGTGTCTCAGGCACAACCAATAAACACAAGACTTTTCCATCCTTAGCAGCATGCATTAGCTCCACATTCCTTTTTTCTACAAAAAATGTACAATGAAAATTTTACAAAATGAGAGCGAAGAGTGTTACATGTACTTGGGGGAACAGAGGAAGGAATTTTGAAGTCAGATTAACAAAATTTCTGCCAGTTGGGACAGATAAATTTCCATAATAAAATGAAACGAATTATTCGCAGCAAATAATACATATGTATTACCTTGCAGTCACCATTGCACACAATCATTTTGTATAAACATTTCTTGATTACACGTTGAAGTCAAATCCTCACCTGATTTGCACATTCATGTGGATTGGTTCTATGTTGATAATCCCTTTCAACAATCTTCATCACAACATCTGAAAGTCACCCATCTTCAAAATCAAATCTGCCGCTCACCTCAAATGTATATAGACTCCCTGTACAAATGCATGGAAAATAAAATTTTGAATAAAAAATGAATTATCTCTTCACCATACCCGGCCTCTTTAAAAAATGTGAGAAAATAATTTAAATACTTTTCTTTAGATAAAATCATATAGTGAGTATCCAGCAATGTTGAGAAAAAATTATCTCTAGAATTTTACATTTATATTGAATGAAAAATGCATTGTTCCCTCTACTTAAAAAAAACTCAAAAGACATTACCTAAAATGGAAATAAGGTACAACTGTGACTGGTGACTCAGGCACAACCAATAAACACAAGACCTTTCCATCCTTAGGAGAATGCATTAGCTCCACATTCCTTTTTTCTACAAAAAATATACAATGGAATTTTTTTAAAAATGAGAGCGAAGAGAGTTACATGTACTTGGAGGAACAGAGGAAGGAAATTTGAAGTCAGATTAATTATATTTCTGCCAGTGTTGGGACGGGTAAATTTCCATAATAAAATGAAACGAATTATTCGCGACAAATAAGACACATGTATTACCTTGCAGTCACCGTCGCACATAAAATATACATACAACTGACAACATCCCAAATCCCTTTCTTTGTTGTTTACTTGGCGGAATTTTCTTTGCCTTCTAGACTGGTTCCCTGTTCTGGTTCCCATACATGGCCGTGAATAAGTCCTACGTTTATTGGTTTTGTTTACAAGCTTCAATATCTATAAAATCTCCCGCACATTTACAGTCTGTATTGTAAACTACTAAAACACACTTTACACACAATTTTCAGCTCAGTATTATGTTATCCTCTTCATTCAAATAATATGTGAACTCTTCTCGAATGTAAAACGAACGATCTACTCTGATAAGTAACCCAAATATCCCAGCAGGCACGCAACGTTGTTTCAACGTTAAAAGGAGGTGGAATATAGGTTGCAACGTTGATCGACTATATTTCAACGTTGTTTCAACGTTAAGGTTTCAACGTTGAATCCTCAACCTTTTTTCAACGTTGAAACAACGTTGAAGCTGCAACATATTTTCAATGTTGAATTTTCGTCAATATTTCAACGTTGAAACAACGTTGAAGCTGCAACATATTTTCAACGTTGAATGTTCGTCGGTATTTCAACGTTGAAACAACGTTGAAGCTGCAACATATTTTCAACGTGGAATGCTTGTCGATATTCAACGTTGAAACAACGTTGAAGCTGACAAATTCTCAACGTTTGAACTTTATTGATATTTCAATGTTGAAACAACGTTGAAGATTCAACATGTTTTCAACGTTGAGTATTTTCTGATATTATACAATTGAAACAAGGTTTAAAAATGCAAAGTTGACTGTTTGTTGGTTTCAACGTTGATACAACGTGGAAGATCTAACATATTTTCAACTTTAGGAAAGTTAGGAAAACAACGGGCAATGAGTATTGAGCACTTTAGTTTTTAAGGTCAAAATATAAAGTGTCTAACTCTTAATTTATGCAATTTTTCGCAAGATACACAAAGCTGTATGCATTGTTAGAAAATATTATATTTATAATTATACATAATAAATGAAACACATGCATTATGAATTGATTTACTCAAAAGAGTTGTGCCAGTTCAGCTAGTCCCATTGTAAAATTTAAATAAATTGTGAATGCTTTTTTTAAAAAATATGTTGAATATAAGCTTTTAATAAATAATGACATCTTTATCCAACATCTCACTGTAATTCCATGTTACTTTAGAATTAATAAAAATAATTATTTATTCCTGATTGATGTTCTTAAAATTAGACTCATATAGATCCGTGCAGTATACTCTTATACAAAGCGAATCTAAGATGTCTTATTTTATCAGATTGTGCTTTTGTTGTGTATATTAATTCTATAATCTTTCTTTTCACAAAATACTTAGTATATAAAAGAGAAAAATTCAAATAAACACATAACAATTTTCACACTGACAATTAACATGATTAACCCCGGTCAAATAGCATTACTTAAGATCCACTCCCCAGAAACCTTCGAGATTCAGATAAGGAGTGCCTCTCGCTTAGTTGGTCAGTTTCAGTGTCAGGATAACCTTGTTATGCAATTTTCTTGCTGGGCAGAGTATAGCTGCAGCTTATCTAGGTCAAAATTTGAATTCAACTGATGGACAAGAAGTGCGCGTCTCCTTGCTGTTCATATTTAATGTGTTTTCAAGCTACATACACAAGGATTAAGGCTGGAATATCAACTTCTGCTTAGTAAGTATTATTTCCTTTTCATGAATTTAGGAAATTAAGTTAATTTAGTATCTGTACATCATTTAATTCTTGTTTTATAAGTACATGAAGTATATGTGAAATCTACGTGAAATGCACGTCCTTGGTACATGTATTATGTGTATTGTTGATATTCATTTGGTTATGAAATATAAGTATACTAATATATTATACAATTTAATTAATTGTAGTTCATCGTATGGTTTAATCCACCAGTAGTGCAGGGCATTGATTGTATATAGTCAGCCTTGATTGCATCAGATTCTTCGCCCGTGAAAATTATACAAAGGAATGCAACATTTTGTAAGTACACTATATCTATGTATGTCTATAACATTTTCTTTAGTAATAATTATTTATAAGCATACTAATACGAATTTTAATATGAAGTTAACTATAATTCTTTTTAATCATGTTAAGTACCGGAAAATATTCCTTTGTCTGATTTTTTAAATTATTCATGTATATTTATTTTTATCGTTTCAAATAGCGTGTTACGTACATTGTAATGAACAAATTTCTTTCACATCTTTATTTCTTTTATTAATAGGCTTTTGCTCTAGAGGGTGGATTCTCCCGTTCATTTGTTTCATTCATGGGACTTAACTACAGATGTATATGCGTGATTAAAATCAATGGATCCGCCACTTTGTGGAACTTAGTAGTGTAAGAAAGACGCATACTTTGAAGAACCTTGATGTGATAACTGTGACTCCCTTTTCACTAGGAATATAAATTTTGTCAGGCAGTGATTTTTGAGATTCAGTGATTGAATCCAAATTTGTGTTTGTCTTTAAAAATACAAACTAAAGTGAATTCTCTCACAATCGTAATACTGGATTATAACTTATATAAATATTACGCAACTTGAATAAAAAAATTTATTAGAATTTGAAATGTATTTGTTTATAAAGTAAAACGTAATATGAATTCAACGTGGTTTCAACCAAATATCAACGTTTGTACAACCAAATCTCAACCTAATTACAACCAATGTTCACTTTTGTTCAATGTTGATATTTGACGTTGAAACAACGTTGAAGCTTCAACGTTGCATCAACTTTCATTTGCAACCAAAAATCAACCATAAATCAACCAAGAATTCAACCTATTTTTTGAACGTTTATTCAACGTTGAAAATTGACGTTGAAACAACGTTATGTTTCAACGTTGCCTCAACTTTCATATGCAACCAAAATTCAACGTTGATTCAACGTTGAAGTGCAACGTTTATTCAACGTTGAATCAACGTTGAAATGCCTGCTGGGATGGCACTGTGTATTCGGTTGAATAGCCAATCATTTCAAATCAAGTGGAGCGGGTCTGCATCGCTATTTTGACGAAGTTTGTAACCTGTGGTAATTTTTTGAAACCTCATCTATGTCTTGACAACTGCTCGAACTCCCGGATTGGCATGCACTGCAGGTTTGTTTACGATTTCCAACCGTTTTCATTTTCAGCGTAGATCAGTACATTGTGCATAAATGTAGTGAAACAAAACTTCGCTGTATATGTTATTTACTGCCAGAATGTTAGATTAGTATTTTGATAACTTGGGGATTAAATGTTTATGGGTTTCAGTTTTTTTCTGTAAAGGTGTATGTCTCTGGAATATTAACAAGACAAAGAAAAACAGTTCTGGAGTGGGACTAAAATGAGAAGTTAAAACAGAGCCGGGAATTTGAAACTGAAACCGGGTTTTTGCTAATTACTGAGAATATACACAATCAGTTGTCATAAAACTTAGTTACAGATGTATTTATGCCTTGGTTGAGAGTTTCATCTCCGAAATTGACAAATAAGTTTATTTTATTTATAACATTTTGTATTTTAATTGTGTCCATTTTGTTAAAATACAGGTTGAGTGAAATCAGTATGCAGATTGTTGAAGGGAAAACATCAAGACGGGGCGAGGAAGATGACAAAACATGATTGAGGATCCCAAAGTTCTTTGGTACAAGCACATTTTTAAAAAATCAAATAATAAGTATCGTGAAATGTTACTTGAACAAACATTTACATTATTTAGTGCTTGACTTGCTCGGGAGTCATTATTGTCAAATGTATTCGTATAAAATGTTCAATTTCTTTTGTATAGGCTCAAGCTACTCAGCCTACCATGAGAAAATTACCAACGCAGAAATATAATTAATCTGACTTCAAAATTCCTTCTTTTCTGTTCCCCCAAGTACATGTAACACTCTCCGCTCTCATTCTTTTTTATTTTCATTGTTTATTTTTTGTAGAAAAAAGGAATGTGGAGCTAATGCATGCTGCTAAGGATGGAAAGGTCTTGTGTTTATTGGTTGTGCCTGAGTCACCAGTTACAAGTGTACCTTATTTCCATTTTAGGTAATGTCTTTTGAGTTTTCTTTAAGTAGAGGGAACAATGCATTTTTCATTCAATATAAATGTAAAATTCTAGAGATAATTTTTTTTCAACATTGCTGGATACTCACTACATGATTTTATCTAAAGAAAAGTATTTAAATTATTTTCTCACATTTTTTAAAGAGGCCGGGTATGGTGAAGAGATAATTCATCTTTTATTCAAAATTTTATTTTCCATGCATTTGTACAGGGAGTCTATATACACTTGAGAGGTGAGCGTCAGATTTAATTTTGAAGATGGGTGACTTTCAGATGTTGTGATGAAGATTGTTGAAAGGGATTATCAACATAGAACCAATCCATATGAATGTGCAAGTCAGGTGAGGATTGGACTTAAATGTGTAATTAAGAAATGTTTATACATAATGTGCCATGGTGACTGCAAGGTAATGCATGTGTCTTATTTGTTACGAATAATTCGTTTCATTTTATTATGGAAATTTATCCGTCCCAACACTGGCAGAAATATAGGTAATCTGACTTCAAAATTCCTTCCTCTGTTCCCCCAAGTACATGTAACACTCTTCGCTCTCATTTTGTAAAATTTTCATTTTATATTTTTTATAAAAACAAGGAATGTGGAGCTAATGCATGCTGCTAAGGATGGAAAGGTCTTGTGTTTATTGGTTGTGCCTGAGACACCAGTCACAGTTGTACCTTATTTCCATTTTAGGTAATGTCTTTTGAGTTTTCTTTAAGTAGAGGGAACAATGCATTTTTCATTCAATATAAATGTAAAATTCTAGAGATAACTTTTTTTCAACATTGCTGGATACTCACTACATGATTTTATCTAAAGAAAAGTATTCAATTATTTTCTCACATTTTTTAAAGAGGCCGGGTATAAGAAATAATTCATTTTTTATTCAAAATTTTATTTTCCATGCATTTGTACAGGGAGTCTATACATTTTAGGTGAGCGGCAGATTTAATTTTGAAGATGGGTGACTTTCAGATGTTGTGATGAAGATTGTTGAAAGGAATTATCAGCATAGAACCAATCCATATGAATGTGCAAGTCAGGTGAGGAATGGGCCTAAAAAAAATGATGTTTGTTTCCTGTAACCCATCCGACCCATTCAAATTATCCCTGGGTGGATTTTTTTCCCTGACAAATGGCAAAACTTTGTTTGATCAATCAGCTGATTCCATTTATTAAATTAAAACAATAGCTTGTAGCTTAATTTGAGACATAAAATATGTCAATCTAGTTTACATTTACCTTAAATATAAATAGTAATCATTATTGTAACAACAGTTTCCCCCAACAACTTTCTGAAGTTTGTTTTCTGCCGCTAGGTAGCCATTTTGGATGCCGTGTTGGGTGTCCACTGTAAATATAACACCTGGTATTTTCAGTCTGGGGATGTTTCACCATTCATAAGCAAAAAAAAAAAAAAAAAATTCCGACCTACCGACTCTTCATTTTTTGGGAATGTTACAGAAAAGAAACTTAATTTTTTAGCCTTGGACTTCAACGTGTAATCAAGAAATGTTTATATATTGCTTAGCTTAGTGAAAGCATACCACAAACATTTTAAGTATCTCAGTAAGTTTCATGGATATTGCAGATGTATCACATTCATATGTTTGACATTGAGTCGCATTGTCTAAATTTCCATTATGTTTAGTTATACATATTTTAAGTTACTTAAGTATGTCTTCAAAAGCTTGTGCTTTAATTTCAATAGAAGTAATAAAAACCTCCTTAAAAATTGTATTGTTTTCTTTATAATTTTGAAAATGATTATTATTAGGACTTGTACAACACCTGAGTACCTAGATGACTGTTGAACTAATTGGTGAACAAGAAAAGATGTCAGAGAGGGGAATCCAATACAGATGTCATGATCAAGAATATATACTCTTATCAATGATATGATCAAGAATATGTAAACTTGTAACGATTTAAAATATCTTATAGATCTGTAAATCACTTTTCATTACTTAATTGTTCACACATTATCATCTACACTTATGCTATAAATCTTATCTGTATATTAATCGCCCCCTCTTATCTAACCCCCTGCTGATTGTAATGACCTGTGTATTGACTCCTGATCTTAAGGATCTTGTAATGTGCTCCTGATCGTCAGGAATGGATCTTGAGTATATATATAGTGCGACAGAATTTTAGAATAAGAAGATGGAAATATAGAAGACTTAGTAGATAGAACTGTTAGAGATAGATAAAGCTACTCACTTACTTGGACTATTACCTAATATTTCTTGGATTTATATGTACATGTAATTGTTTTACTTGGATTTTATTTTTTATGAATTATTTTTCCTGAATGTTTCTATTTGTGATGTGCTGTGTAAGTAAACTGTAGATTAGAATTTCGGCATCTATTTTCAAGATATGAGGAACAAGGATAAATTAATTCATCATGCAAATTGACATTATGAAATGTGTTGTAAGACCGCTCGGTGCGGTGCTAAAACTAACTAGGAAATATCTTGGAGATTTATAGATGAACATGCAAGCATTCATGATTTTGAATGTTATTCAGCCAGAGAGTTTTCACACAAATTTAATTTTCAGTACAGTAATTTAAACTGGATGTGTAATTTTCAGTACAGTTATGTAAAATCAATATGTTACTTATTATGATTGTCAATTTTTCAACAGGACATAATTGTAGTTTATTTATACGATCACTCTTGCAGAACAAAACACACAGAACTTTTTTCTCTGTGTGCATCATACACTTGTAAACGTTTTACACCACCATGTATACATATTTTACATTGATGACATGTAAATCGAGCACACACATGAAAATGCGTATATCTGAATACATGCAAACATGCATCTACCATAACCTATTACATATTGTGTGAAGTGGAGCACATACATGAAAATGTGTGAAGCTGGACACATACACAAATACACATGCATCTGCCACAACCTATTACATATTTTCCAAGGCGTGTGAAGTCGAGCACATACATGAAAATGTGTGAAGCTGGACACATATGCAAACACACTAACATATACCACAGACATAAAATCATAATCTAAACTAAGTCAAGCACAGACAGGCTCACTAGGTGAAGCTTGACTTATACATGATCTCATGCATTTTGCAAACTGCATCCTTGCATATATTCTAATAGATTTTTCACCATTTTTTGTGTTTGTGAATATGTAAAATGCATCATTTTGCATTACAAGTTGAGGATGTTATTAGCCTGTATTTAAGCGCAAATCAAACAGCCTTTTATGTAATTTTTTTTTCACATTTTTAATTCAATTTAAACTGCAAAGTTTATTTTATATATGTACATGCACCATAAAGAATGAATAATGTACCGGTATTATATTTTAAAGTGAAATGGGACCTCCATTTCATAAGCAGAAATGTGAAATTTATACTTATCATCTGTATTTTTTTTTTATTTTGTCTCACATGTATCTGAATGTTTAAAGGAAAACAAAAGTCAAAAATAGCTCAATATAATGTTTATATTTAGGGTTATAACTGGATATTGTTTGTGCTGTATATCTGATTCATCATATGATGAGAAGCCAAAATACAGAATATTTTTGTCTGGAAAATGAAACTTATCAATATGCCAATTTCTCCCACTGTTACATTATTAATTAATATATCATTAATATCAATGTACATATAAAAAATCTATGTCATCAAATCCAGAGAGTTATAGGCAATCCTGGTGCAGATAATATTTTTTTCTCGTGTTTTGTAGTAGAGTGGGAACACATAGTATGAGATGAACATATATTAATGGTTTTGGTTGTATATGTGGGCGTGGCAAAAGGAAGGCCAATGAGAAATGAGTATTCAGTAAGGTGTTCAAATCATTCTAAGCCAGTGCTCTTCAATACACACACATTTTTTTTTTGCTTTATATATAATATATATATCATTTTTGTATAAATATACTGGTAATGAAAATAACAAAACTGTTGAAATGTATTTTAATTTGGATTTTTTCCATACATGCAAATATTATAGGGTGTTTGTGCATTTTTAACTATTGCACTGAATGCACGTCCGGCATTCTCCCTTGAGACGTTATTTACATAGCGACAGACACAGGTTTTCCATAGTTAACCATCTATGGTTTTTGCCTGGGCGGTTTTTAATGTCTGTGATAGGGATATAATTTATTACAAGTAAAATATTTTACAAATGCATTCCATTGCTTTATTGTTTCACATTCAATGTAATGTATGTTGAATATGTATCAAAATAAACGCCAGCTGCTCCAACTAAGCTAACCTGGCTTACAGCATAGTTGTTGTATTATCTGAGGCGTAGTGTGTCAAATAATGATGAGTCGAGTGTTTGATTCTGTAGATGACCATTTCTAATACTAATTTCAACTGGAAATGGATACAAGATAATTTAAAAAGATATCTTTGACATTTGTCTTAAAATTCCGGGTACTGACTAGATTAGATTCTTTAAACTAACTGTGAAAATCCAAAGTATAAGTGTATTAAACAATAGTCAGCATTTAAATAAGACTTTTATAAAATATGTATATTTAATGAACTTTAATATGGCATTAAAGGTGAAAGGTTATATTTAATTATCTTTTCGTGTAAGTAAAGGTTACCTTTTCACCTTTACTTTTTGTAAAGTTAATACAAAGATGACCTTGCTTTTTGGAGCACCTTTAATGAAATTTACTTCGCAAGTAAAGTTTTGTAAAGGTGTTTTTTGAAGCAGTGAAAGTTATATAAAAACATCTCTGTACAATGAAAATTGCTCCTGGAATCCTACTGTTGTATTACAGAAATAATCATTCAACACTTTCGGACGAAACCTTCCCAAAATTTTTAAATTTTGTTCATAGCATCGAAAAAAAAATACATCAATTTCTGTAAACCATACGGTTCTAGCAGCACTTTTCAAAAACAATAGAATAAGAACTTTAGTTAGAAACAAATAATAAGTTTCAAGGTATGCGGGATAGTGTTGAAATTTTGCATCTCTTTTTTTTACGAACGACAGAAGAAAGGCTGATCGGCAAGTAAACAACCCGCCTGCTTAAATTTTTACGAAGAAATTGTAGAATTATATTACAATACCTTATTCATAAGCTTTATTCTCACATGAATCACGTATGATATTCATTCTAAATGCTTTAAAATCCGATTTCTTGCGTTTGTTTACATGAATTCTCGTTACATTTTACTTTCACTCTGCTACTGCGTGATAAACAGTTGTGACGTCACAGGTTTGGTATTTAACTCCTGTGATAACCACTGATACCCAGAAGCGACAAAATTCTGTTCATATTATGCCTCTGCATATTTTGATTCATTTTTAGCACCTCAAGTCGATCTTAGATATCGATTATAAGAAATTGTTATCTCTTAACCCCACCTAATATAGCTTACTATGACGTCATATCTTATAGGCAAGCAGAATATTTGGTTGAAACCTTAAGGGGGGACCTAGGTCGTTCTACGTCAAGGCAGCGTTATGTGACGTCACAATAGCGACGTTTGTTTTTACCTGTTGACTTTTGCAACTGTGATATAGGCATAACATTGTTGATAATCAATTACGTACAAAATTTACAAAAAGGAAAATTTATTCCTCATTAATCACAGTTTTATTTGATATATGGAGTTTGTTAATATTAGAATTATCTTCCTTTAGTTGATAATTCATAGCAATTTCTGTTGTGAAAAAATACCTCGATAATGCTGATAGTATAATAGTGCAAAAAAAAGAGATAAAATTCAGGAAAGAAAGCGGCTTGAATCAGGGGAAAATGTTTAATTTTATAAATACCATTAATCATTTTTCTGGAGAAAACTAAGAAAAAAAAATAAGAAATGTACTTGTACGGTTGTATATTTGCTTATTGCTTTATATAGTACATGTAGATTTTATTGTATAAAGACATTCCTAGGTTCTAATAGGCATTGGTTGTTGACGGGGAAATGGGGGGGGGGGGGACAGAATGAATGGAATGTAGAAAAAAATTATCTATCTAAATTGTTTCTAATCAAAACAAAATACTCGTTTTCCGCAAAATAGTTTTAAATTCAGGTGTTTGTCAGTGCTTACTTACCCTTTTTTAGTGCAGAAAGGTCAATATTTATGACACAAGCGTACACAAATAAAAGGAAACGTCATATTTCTCGTTTATTTTATCATAAAGGTATACATTTTTCTTTGTTGAAATAAAGAGATGAATTATTTCTTTCAAATAATATGAATTACTAAATTTTCACACAAAGACTTTTTAAGATATTACCTGTTATGCATATCGGAATTGTAAAAAATACGACAAGAAAAATGGGGTAATACTTACATTGTGCTCCATTATAATTTTTCATGTGAGATGGATTTCAATGAATTTGCCTCCATTTTAAGGATACAAGTCATATAAATTAAATAAGTGTTGATTCTGAATATGTTTTGACTTTTTTGGTTCTTTTTAGCGCATATTTGGGGTAGAACAATAATGACTGAAAATAATCAATTCTTAGCATTTCACGCTGTTTTTGCACGTGCTCCTGAGTAAAAATAAGCATATAAAGGTATTGTTTTTAATACCTAAAAATTAAGAGCAAGTGGTCAGGAAAGAAATGTCAAAGTTTTGAAAATTTCACACAAAGACTTTTCGGACACAGGTCCCCCCTTAACATACATGCGTATAAAAAAAATAGAGATTCTTCATATCCCACATATACTTCACAATCAATATTTACCTTGTTTTTTTGATTGACTCTATTTTAATCTTCATTACTCTACCGGAGAAACATTGTGATATCACTATTGCACTTAACCGTGGGATATAAAAAATATCCAAGAAGTCATATCCGCGTGATAAAGTTGTAATCATGGGATAAAAATACAGTTAGTGCACATATAACTAGATGCATGTTTGTAAAACAGAGCTTTTAAAGATCCTGTTGTAAAAAGCTCACATTCGTCATAGGTAAATTTTCTCTTTTGGGAAACATTAATGCACTTACTAAAATTCCTTTAAGGAGGAATTGATATCTTTACACTTTCAGTTTAATCAATTTTTATAATTAAAAGTGACAAAAAGTGAGGTTGTACGTATTCCTCTGGGGACACACATTCGTAGATTACGTGGACATTACATATCATAACATCACAACTTCTCAACATATCAATAACCCACAACCATTAACCCCTACAGACTAGGGAAGTACACAACACCCATGAATTCTAATTTAATTTATTTCTTAAAAAGTACAGGAGAAAAAGAATAACATTGCTATATAGACAACAATAAACTAACCTTGTCAGAAAAATAATAAGTTGTGGCATGTTTTCGTCATATCTTGTGAAAAAAAGAGAATCCTATATATTGGTCAC